GGAACGGCGCTCCCGCTTGAGACTTCCTCGCAACTTAGTCAGGGCCCCCGCTCCCGCCCGAGATTTCCTCACAATGTACTCAGGACTGCGCTCTCGCGTGCGACGTCCTCACAAATTATTCTGGAATTGCGTTTCGGCGCTCAGGAACCACGCGCGCGCCAAGGACGCCTTCACAACGTGGTATCTTCCCTCTTCCTTCGTCCTTCCCCCTCCCCTTCCTCCCACTCTCCCTCGTTCTTCCCCTCCTCCTCTTGCAGGGCCCGCGCCAATTCCAATGGCGGGCAGAGAGATGTACGCCCCCGAAGGATTGTCCGCCCGTTCCGGTTTGCCCGTACGTCTAAGCCCGCCGGCCCCAGCAAAGAGAAATAATCCCCCCGAGAGGGGTGTGTTCGAAGACGAAGAGGGCGGGTATCGAGGGTGTAGGGTATACGTGTTGAATGACTCGCGGGCAAGTACGAGCGTACAGCCTTAAAATGGTTGTTGTTGTTGTTGTTGTTGTTGTTGTTGTTATTGTTGTTGTTTTTTTGTTGTAATATATATAATAGTATGAACCTCCCGTTGCGTCTCTTTACGTCGCGAGCATGTCTTGGTCCAGAGCTGCCAGATCTCAGAGATCCCTGAACTGGATCCACAAACCACCAAGTGGTGGATTATTCGTATCGAGAGGGTTGCATGCTTGGTCCATATTTTAAAGATGAATGAACCTCGCGATTTTTTTTTTTTTTTTTTTTTTTTTTTTTTTTTTTTTTTTTTGTCATTGGAAGTTCATGTCATTTATCTTACTCATTTTTGCATTCTTAATTTGAATGTATAGTTAATAATTTTACATGTTTTGCTATGTGCTCGCAAGTGCGATTGTTGGATTCGCTTATTGCCCTGTAGATTGTTTCTTGGACTGCAGGAGGAGTCCTTGCGGCCTCGAATGCAGTCAGCGCCTGCCAAAGCGTTCTCCTCAAGAGTCCCGCCGACTTGTCCAGTTCGACTTTTCCTGGGCTTGGTTTCGTGCGCTGCGTCGAGCCGCGGCGCGCCAGTGGTGGTCCTTGCCTGCTCCCCGCCCCGTGGGAGTCACATAGCAAGGCGGCGTAGACATCTGGGCCGCAGAAGTCCAGCTCTCCGACGATGTGTGTTTTTCCCAACCATCCTGTGGTGTTGGGATCTTGTTTTGAAGAGACAGCGCCCCGCGTCACCTCCTCCTCCTCCCGCTGCCCCCTCCCCCCTCCTCTTCCCTCCATGCGTTTCACCCACCAAGACCAGCGCTTCGTGGCCCCATAGGGAGCTCCACCGAAGGCGCCAGTGGCAGGGTTCGTATGCCGGCCCCGCGTTTTGGCTCACCCCTAACACGGTTCGTAGCCCCATAGGGAGCTCCACCGAAGGCCCCAGTGGCAGGGTTCGCATGGCGGCCCCGCCTTATTTTGGCGCACCCCTCACACGGTTCGTGGCCCCATAGGGAGCTCCACCGAAGACCCCAGTGGCAGGGTTCGCATGGCGGCCCCGCGCCATTTTGGCGTACCCCTCACACGGTTCGTGGCCCCACAGGGGGTTCCACCGAAGGCCCCAGTGGCAGGGTTCGCATGGCGGCCCCGCGCCCGTTTGGTGCACCCCACACACGGTTCGTGGCCCCCTAGGGAACTCCACCAAAGGCCCCAGTGGCAGGGTTCGCATGGCGGCCCCGCCTTATTTTGGCGCACCCCTCACACGGTTCGTGGCCCCATAGGGAGCTCCACCGAAGGCCCCAGTGGCAGGGTTCGCATGGCGGCCCCGCGCCCGTTTGGTGCACCCCACACACGGTTCGTGGCCCCCTAGGGAGCTCCACCGAAGGCCCCAGTGGCAGGGTTCGCATGGCGGCTCCGCACAATTTTGGCGCACCCCTCACACGGTTCGTGGCCCCATAGGGAGCTCCACCGAAGGCCCCAGTGGCAGGGTTCGCATGGCGGCCCCGCGCCAGTTTGGTTCACCCCTCACACGGTTCGTGGCCCCATGAGGAATTCCCATTGCTTTGTCCCACCTGCCCTGCGGTTCTCACACTTGCGTATGGTTGGGTCCTTCGCCAGGATAATTTTTTCAATCCCCTGGGGCCAGTTATCTGGCCCCGGGGCCACCAACATGGATCCGGGACGCAAGATTCCCCCCTTTGACGCGGTCGGGACCTCTGGGGCCGCGGATTGAAGAAAAATCCCACTGGCGGGCGTCGGGGAGTGCCGCACGCTGATGGCTGCACCGCAGAAGCCAGTGCTGCACGACGGGCGCGCCCCGTCAGCGGCAGTGCACCTCGCGCGGCCTGCGTGCGGGTCTGGCGCGGTTTTTGTGGCTCTGCCGCCCGCCCGGCGCCCCGCAGGCAATGCGCGAGCAGCGTCGCACGACGTGCACATCCGGCGTCTGCCTGTCCTGCCTCCGCCCCGCGCGTCGGGCCGCGGCGCGGGAGGCCGCGGACAGCCTCTGGGGCGTGAGGGTCGCGTCGGGGCTGCATCGCCGACGCCGCCGGGCCAGAGCGGCCCCCCACCGCGCGGCGCGGGACTGCACGGTGCTCGGGGCACTCTTCCGCGCTCCGCAGCGGCCGTCCACGTTGCCGGACGTTCCACCTTGACTCGCGCGCGCGGCGTCCGTGGCAGCTCACTGGCTCTGCGAATGCGTCGCCAGGCTCGTCATCACTTTTGCGGTGTCCGCTCCCCGTGCTCCCGCCAGACGAGCAGAGCAGAAACCCCTGCACTCCGCAGCGTGTCGGCAGCAGGTCCGGCCGCGGGCTCGGCTCGAGCTCCGGGGTCGGGGGAAGTGTCGCAGAGCGGGCGCTGCCTCGCCCACGCCCAGCGTAGATGCACCGCCAGCACGGCCGCGCAGCGCGAGTGCCGCGCTGTGGTCGCAGTGCTGCTCTGGCGTGTCGCACCATGCCCTTGGCAGCGGCGTCGGCCGTTCGTGCAGCGGATCGGTTGCCAGCTCATTCTCGTGCCCAGTGGCCGCGAGGCGCCAGGCGCCACGATGACGATGGTGATGAGGCTGGTGATGAAGCTGAAGATTCGGATGATGATGATGATGATGGTGATGGTGACGATGATGATGATGATGATGATGATGATGATGATGATGATGATGATGATGATGATGATGATGATGATGATGATGATGACGATGGTGATGATGCTGCTGATGATGATGATGATGATGATGATGATGATGATGATGCTTGTAATGATGACGATGGTGATGATGAAGATGCTGTTGCTGCTGCTGCTGCTGATGATGATGATGATGGCGATGATTATGATGATGATGGTGATGATGATGATGATGAAGACGGTGACGACGATGACGATGACGATGGTGATGATGATGGTGGTGATGATGATGCTGGTGATGATGATGACGATGATGATGACGGTGATGATGACGTTGATTGTGATGATAATGCTGCTGCTGATGATGGTGATGCTGATGGTTGTGGTGATGATAATGATGATGGTGGTGATGGTCATGGTGTTGGTGATGATGATGATGATGACGACGATGACGGTGGGGATGACGATAGCGAGGATGATGGTTGCGATGCTGATGATGATGATGCTGGTGATGATGATTATGACCATGATGACGGTGATGATGCTGATGATACTGATGATGATGGCGATGTCGATGACGATGGTGATGCTGAGGGTGGTGGTGATCATGATGATGCTTATGATGATGCTTGCGATGCTGCTGCTGCTGATGATGATGATGACGACGATGACGATGACGATGACGCTGACGATGACGATGATCATTATGATGATGATTATGATGATGATCGTGATGCTGATTGTGATTATGATGATGATGATAGTGATGGTTATCATGATAATGATGGCGATGATGACGATGACGCTGACGATGTGATGATGTTTGTGGTGGTGATGCTGGTGATGATGATGATGCCGATGACGATGGTGGTGTTGATGGTGGTGATGGTGATGATGCTGACGAGGATGATGACGATGCTGATGATGAAGATGACGATCATGCTGCTGATGATGATGAAGATGATGATGATGATGATGATGATGATGATGATGATGATGATGATGATGATGATGATGATGATGGTGATGGTGATGGTGATGGTGATTGTTGTGGTGATGATGATGATGATGATGACGATGGTGCTGATATGGTGGTGACGATGATCACGATGATGATGACGATGATGATGATGATGACGATGATGATGCTGATGATGGTGATGGCGATGATGATGCTGATGGTGATGGTGGTGGGTGGTGGTGGTCATGATGATGGTGATGCTCATGAAGACGATGCTGATGATGATGATGATGATGATGATGATGATGATGATGATGATGATGATGATGATGATGATGACGGTGTTGGCGATGATGATGATGATGATGATGATGATGATGATGATGATGATGATGATGATGGTGATGCTCATGAAGACGATGCTGATGATGATGCTGATGATGATGATGATGATGATGATGATGATGACGGTGTTGGCGATGATGATGATGATGATGATGATGATGATGATGATGATGATGATGATGATGATGATGATGATGATGATGATGATGATGATGACGGTGATGAGGATGATGGATGAGGATGATGATAGGATGGAGGAGGAGGGTGACCGATCCAGATGATTAATGATGATGATGAGGAGCAGAAGGAGGTGCCGGAGGAGGAGGAGTCGGAGGAGGAGGAGTCGGAGGAGGAGCAGGAGGGATGGGGCTTCCCAGCGGAGAAGGATGATGATGAAGCTGCTTCTGATGATGATGATGATTATGATGATGATGCTGATGCTGATGATGATGATGATGATGATGATGATGATGATGATGATGATGATGATGATGATGATGATGATGATGATGATGATTGGTGGTGGTGGTGGTGGTGGTGGTGGTGGCGGTTGTGGTGATGATGATGAGGAGGAGGACGAGGAGGAGGAGGAGGATGAGGAGGAGGAGGAGGGCAATTGGAGTGCAGCGGGAGCGGTTGCCGAG